GCTCCCACTAGTGTTGGCTCCCCACCGCTGCTCGGTCGGGGACATTCCCCAGGTACTACTGCAAAGGACCCGAGTCAGGGCTGCAACCCACACCTCCCAAATGGGGCAAATCCAGCCACTGCAACAAATGAAAAACTACCAACCCATGAACAGGGGGACAGCATCACTGAATCCTAGGAAAGATCTCCTTCCTCCCCTGCAGAATCTCATGGACAAAATGCTAAGCCAAACTCAAGATGGCCCTATTTTAAAGGAAGAAATGGGGATGGGGATGGAGCTGCTGAGAATGTTTGCCTGGCCTGAGTTTGATCCCCAACACTGCACCAAAAATAAAAAGGAAGAAATGCAGGTCCTGAGGCAAAGGACAGGCCCAGCAACACCGTACTTTCCCTGGCAGGCCTCTAGAGCTGTTTACCGTGGAGCCCCTGTGAGGGCAGGGGCGCCCCATCCGCTGCATCCCAACCTACTGACACCAGGCCTGGGCTCCAGAAGGAGCTCGGTAAACACAAGCACCAGACTCCTCCCTTCTGGGAATGTATAAACAGGTTCCAAGTGGGAAAGGACACAGTGTAACTTGGTTCAAGATGGCTCTATGACCACATTTCCCCCATGGTTCTCAAGGGCAAGAGCCTCCCACACATTCTTCTGCTGCAGAGCCTCCAGGAAGCCCCTGCCTCACCTGGCCAGGAAAAGACACTTCACAAACACAAGGCGGTGGTGCCAGCCTGTGATCCTAGCACTGAAGCAGGAGCACCGAGAGTTCGAGGCCAGCCTGGGCTACACAGTGAGTGCAAAGCCAGTCTGAACAGGCAAGATCCTATCTCAGAAAACCAAAAAAACAAACAAAACATGAGGCTGCACTCTCAAGAGGAGAGGTCCAGGGCTGGGGATTTAGCTGAGTGGCACCGCGCCTGCCTCAAAAGCACAAGGTCCTGAGTCTGATCCCTGGTACCAAAAAAACCAAAACAATCAAGAGGAGGGATCCTGTGCTAAGGCAAATCCCTCCAACTGGCCATGCAAGCCCCTTACACTTCCTAAGCCTCAGTTTCCCCATCTCTTTATCCCTGGCTGCTAGAAGGATGAGATGAACCACCTCATTAAAAGTCAGTTATTCGGGGCCAGGGATTTAGCTCAATGGTTTTGCCGACTGCTGCGCAAGCCCAAGAACCCAAGTTCAATCCCTGGTACCAAAAAAAAAAAAAAACCAAAAAACAAGTAAAAGTTAGTTATTCGCCTGCCTTGCAAGTGCAAGGTCCTGAGTTCAATCCCCGGTACCAAAAACATAAATAAAAAAGTCAGTTATTCTGGCGCCTGCCTCGAAAGCGCAAGGTCCGGAGTTCGATTCCCAGTACCAAAAAAAACAAACAACAAAAAAAACAAAAAAAACAAAAAAGTCAGTTATAACTACAGTGCAGATGGACAATGTTCACCCACATTTTATACCAAAGGGCTGCACAAAGCCAGGTGCCTCTTTCCCCACTTTCTGCAATACAGGTCCAGCTGTACAAAAGAGTAGGAAGGAGAGAAACAGCTCCTGGAGAGAGGTACAGAAAACACAAAGGTAACTGGGACCAGCCAGCATTCCCCAACGGGTGCTGCAGAGAACTAACAAATATTAAAGTCACCCAAGATTCCTAACCCATATCTTTACTTCTCCACTCCCGCTCTGAGCCTCTTCTGGGCATTTTGTAAAAGCCACAAAAAGAGGGTATGAGGGACCCACAATGTCACTCCCAGGTAAAGGACAGAGAAGAAGGAGGTAAATGAACTCACCTTGTGTCTCCACAGAGGGAAAGACACAGGACGAAAAAGAACGAACAGTACCACCGAAATCAAACTGATTCAAAGCCTCCTCTGCTGGGTGGACAGAGGTGCCATCTTTTTAGACACAGGTTGGAGACTGCTGGCCCCTGTACCTGACTAAAGTGGGTGGGGCACTTCCCAGGTCTCAGCCACCTACTGATGCCACCCGTGGACACTTTCAGCCTTGCAGAATGGGGCATTATACTTGCTGAGGGCTCAACTTAGCCTTGCTAGGAAAGTGTGCCTGGGGACAAAACAGCAGTAGCAGAAGCCCTGGGAAGATAATGGGGGCACCTTCTGTCAGAGGCACACAGGCAGAGAGGTCTCTCTGAGCTGTCTCTAGGTTTCCAGGTGGACTCCCTGTGGAAGGTACAGGGAAAGAACAGAAGTATTGAGCCTGCCCCCTCACACCACTTCCCTACCTGTAAAACAAAGGCTGGCCAAAATGATCTCTTTCTGTCTAGATAAGGTGTTTTTGTTTTTGGTTTTAGTTTTGGTTTGTTTTGTTTGTTTTGTGGTACGGGGATCAAATGCAGGACCAGGACCTTGTGCTTGCAAGGCAGGCGTGGCACCACTGAGCTAAATCCCAGGCCCCTTTTGTTTTTGAGACAGGGTCTCCATATGTAGCTCAGGCTGGCCTGGAATTCGTGCTAATCCTCCTGCCTCAGCTTCCCAAGTCCTGGGAATACAGACACGCACCACCATGCCTGGCTCTAGATAAATTTTTACAGGGAGTGACATTCAGCTGAACAACTCATCCCAGTCCAGCCAAGCGCCAATGCTGCCCTGAACATTCCAAACAGAGCCTCAAGCCATCTCCAACATGCCTCGGCTTTGTCACTGGGAAATTCACAAGCAATTCATCATCCATCAATACTGCAGTGGTGGTACACGCCTGTAATCCCAGCACTTGGGAGGCTGAGGTAGGAGGATCAAAGCCAGCCTGGGCTACATAGTGAGTTCAGGGCCAGCCTGAACTACAAAGGGAGACCCTGCCTCAAAAAACTAAAAATATAAAATACAAATAAATTTTTTAAAATATACAGAAGCATTGTACCCCCGGACTCTGACTGTCTAAGATACGACAACATCCATCCACGTGTCTCTTGGTCCACTAAAATCTCAGGGGGTATTCACACCAAACAAAACCCAGCAATAAGGCCCAGGTCACCATGTCAACAGTTGGAGCATTTTGCAGCTGGTATACAAACATGGCCACCAGGGGGCAGTGTCCTGGAAATAATAAAGAAGCAACAGAAAAATTCTTTGGTGTTTTCCTTCTTAAATTTAGGTAACAAAACATCTAAAGCTTCACTAGTGAAAACATAAAGTGGGATTCCTGGGGTTCTAGAACAGCCCACGGCCTTCTGCCTTCTCTTTGAAGTCAGTGTTTGGACAAAGGAAGGTAGGAACTAGACCTTGAACTCACCCCACCCAAAGAAACTAAGGCGCCACTCCAATTTCCCCCTGAATGGTTACCACATGGGGTGCCCTGAAGCTCCCACCTCTTTAAAGGTAAGGTGTCAACAAGATGGCCAAGGCAAGTGCAGGTCCAGCAGGAGAGCCCCAGGCCGTCGGGACTGTTTTTGAAAGGCTGCTAACCACCCAGCAAAGCATACCACCCAGACAGACACAGAATGACCCAAGTAGGGACAGCCCTCAGTAGAAAGGGTCCAAAGGATTAACTGGGCTTTCCCAAGTCTTACACAGCGACAGGGGGAGCTCCAGTGCCCTAACATCAGAACTGGACTTTGAGAACAGCCAAAGATTCCCCGAATTTCTCCAGGGTCCAGGGCACCCTTTCCACAGTTCGTATGTCCACGGTACAGTGTTCAAGTGTCCTCCCTTAATGCTCCCAAAGCCCTAGGACCCATTTTCGAAGCTCTGGCTCTGAGTTCCTCCTGATTCCCTTCAGTGTTCCTGGGGCTACTCTGCACGCCCTGCAGACCATGAAGAGGCTGCTCACTCCTAGGAAAGCCTGTCTAGGAGGAGGGAGCCCAACCCACCCCAGAACCGGTTGTGTCCCTGTGGCTGCGGGAAGCAGACTCTGAGTGCGGCTTGCGTGGGGTAGAGGAACATGGGGGGGGGCAGCTGTGAGGGGCACAGAGGGGCTGCCAGGCCTGCCTGCGTGTGCCAACTCAGACCTGGCCAAGAGGCTTGCCTGCACCAGGAGATAAAGAAATCCAAATGGTCGATTCTCCAAGATTTTTGGGACCCATCAATCATGAAAATGCAAGTTGGGCCAATCTTCAAAAACCAAATCTACTAGGTGGAGTCACTGCAAAGCAAAAGGTCTCCACCTGGAGTTGGCGAAAAGCTCAGGGAGGCGGTTTCCATTAGGCTCTCAGAGCAAAGGCAACTTAAGTAACAGCTTTTCAGGGGCAAAGCCGCAGTCACAGACCAAGGAAAGGTGTACCTGAACCAACACTTCTGCAATTTCTTATAAATGTGATCTATTAAACCCCCGTCTCCACCACACAGTTCCAGTGCGGAAGGGGGCACCCAGCCCAGATGGCTGGAAGGCCATTCTACTCCAGCACCTGCTAGCCACCAGCCACTCCCAGCCCTGGGACCCCAGGTCAGGTATCCCACCCCTCTGCTGATGGGTTCCCCATTTCAGACACGTGGCCCAGAATCACCACACAGCCAACGTACAAGGCTGCTGGAGGCTCTAATGAGACAGCAAATCACCAGATACAAGCCAAGTGTTGCTGCTCGCTTCAGTTGGCCTCAACTGTGTGATATGCAATGACAGCGCCAGGAGCCAAGCACACGCGGGGCACACAGTAGGTGGTGCACAAACGCTGGTGCCCTTCTCCGCTAAGGGGAAGGAGACTAAGGAAGGAAGACGCCGCTCCAAAAGTACGTTCAAGCCCCGGGTGACAGCGTGGACTCCCCGATTCCCAGGTCCCTTCGCCAACCTCCAGCAGAGCTCCCACCGCGCCCTGGGAGGCTGGGGCCCTCCGGGCCGGGTCACAGGGCACCTGAGAGCCCCGACCCGAGCCCATCGCCCCTACTGGGCACCGCTTCCCGCGGACACTGCCCCCGGCCCCTCGGCCACCTGGCTCCTCAGACCCAGCCTCCCCGCGCGCCGCTCCTTCCCGTTTTGACCTCGCCTCCCCGGCGCCCGCTGAGGCTGAGTCGGGCTCAGGCCGGGGAGGGGGGTCCCCGGGCGCCGCAGCCTCGTCCCTCCTTACCTGCACAGCTCGGCGAAGGCCTGAAAATTGAGCTTCTTGATTTTCTTCTCGCTCAGCCAGTAGCCGACTCTCTTCCCTTTCAAAAAGGTCTGCATCTTCCTCCTCGGGCGGGGAGCCTGGGTCCGGAGGAAATCGCCCACAGGCCGAGACTGGGGCCGGCGCGCGCCGCTAGCGTGCGGGCACCTCCTCCCGGCGGCGGGGACGCGGAACGCGCTCGGGCGCGCAGTCCTGCAGGCCGGGGCGGGGCAGGGGCGGGGCAGGGGCGGGGAAGGGGCGGGGAAGGGGCGGGGAAGGGGCGGGGAAGGGGCGGGGCTGAGGGCGGCCCGCGGGGAGGTGCTCTGTGAGGTGCGCCACTGGCTGGGCGGCCCACGGCCCAGCCGCTCGCCCGCCCGCGGGGCTCTCCCGCCCGGCCCCCGGGGCTGCGCCGGGTCGAGGGGCCGGGCCTCCGGCCGACACCGCCCCCACCCGGCCAGGCCCAGCGCACCTCCCTCCCGCCGCGCGGGCTCCAGCGAGCGCCCTCCCGTGGCGGCCGAGGCGGAGTCGACCGCGCGCCGCCCCCAGTCCGAGTCCCCTCCTCCGAGCCCGCGCGCTACGCTCGCCGTTCCGCGTCAGGCGCGTGCCTTTCGGGGCGCGCCGGGTCCCCGTGCTCCCCCGGCCGCCGCTGGAGCTCTGGGGTGGCGGAGGAAGTGCCACGGTCGTCAGGGGGCAGCATGGTCGCCACCGTTTAAAGGCGCCGCGCCGGCCCTCGTAGGTGCTGGGGGCTTGTTTGTGTCGCGGTCGGAGGGCGCAGATATCCCACCGAGTGGTTTGCCTCGCCGAAAGGGCGAGGGGAGGGAGTCGTGATGTGGACACTTTGTCGTGTGGAGGTAACCGACCCACCGAGCTTCGGTCCTCGAAAGCATCTCCGTACCCCAGGGGTATTCAGCCCCCGCCCAGGCAATTGGTTGCAACTGCGGGGTGGGGTAGAAACATTCCGTGAGGTCGCCTCTTGTCGCCAGGGGAAGCTGACCCAGCCCAAGCTTAGGGCGTTGACCACCAACTCGCAGGACGCGGCCAAGACGGAGGGGACGTCCCCGTACCCTTCCCTTCGCGGGTACAGGGGTGTGGCTGGGCGTCAGCCTCAGCACCTGCAGTCGCCAAACCCCGCTTGCCCTTCCCCGGGACCTTGCGAGCTTTCCTGCCCTCAGAGAACAGCAGGCTCGGGGAGGAGAAATGAACACCTCTCTCCTCCCAGGCCCCAGCAGGAAAAATGGGTCCCATGGGGATGCGGGTGGAGGGTTCAGAGTTTAGATGGAGACTTTAACTGACCTTGGGAAATCTGAGAAGAGGAAGAGCTTGGATCGAGGAGGGAGAAACTAAAGAACTGGGGCGTAAGGGGATGACTTTCCCCAACCGAACTTGCGTCAGGCTCATCTGAGTCTTCTTTCTGCCTAGGCTCTTGCCTTGGGCTATGGCCTTGGTCCCTTGAGACCATGTTTAGCAAGAATTCTGCTGAATCAGAAAAATTTGCCACCCTTGGTAGGCGATCACCCGGGCCTGTCTACAGTAAGAATCCTGTCAAGTCAGTTTACCCAGAATGCCCAGAGCCCTGAGGCTTGGCCTTAGTTTTCCACCCACCAATTGCCCATCCCTCTTCCTTAGCTATAAATTTCCACTTTTCTTTGCTAGAGTCAAGAGTGGAGCTCTGCTTCTCCCTGCTGCAAAACCTCCACTGCAGAAGTCTGCTTCGTAGTCTTCCTTGCCGTCTTTAGCAAGTGCCTTTGTATTTTCTTTAACCAGGACGAGTGGGGAGTGGGAGAGACACGGGCTAGAGATCGGCCTTTGCATCCTAAGCCTTGAGTGCTCAGAAGGGGAAAGTGACAGCGTCAAGTGGCGGCTCTGTGCCTTAGAAAGGCTGCTTCTTGGAGGAGATCTTGGTAGGAGCACCCCCAGGGCAGAGGCAGGATTAGGGCGTTGACTACAAACAGAGCAAAAAGAAGGGGGTGTGGACAATGACAATAGAAAGCTCACTGTTGAAGCCCAGAGCAGGAAATCTCACACAGTCCCAGGCTTAGGGGCCTGAGAGAGCCATGGAGGCTGGGTGGTCCAGGAGGCTTCTAGGAGTTAGTTCCTTTATTCCTTCAACAAACACAAGGAGCCCAGTGTGTGGCAGAGATGCTCTTGAGCGTTGGGGTACGAGATGGCTAGGCCAAGGTCTCAGGAGAAGGGGTACAAGCCACTGATCCCAAATAAGTGATGAGAGCTGAAAGAGAAATGCAGCAGAACAGGGCCATCTGTTCTGCTTTGCTGAGTGGCCGAGGACTGTGGCATCAGATCTTGAAGGATGAGCAGGAGCTCAGAGCAGGAGGGAGCATTCCAGGTGGAAGGGACAATGGGTGCAGAGATTCAGAGGGTAAAAAGACAATGCCTAACTGGGCGTGGGCAGGTGGAATGGGTGGGCAGCTGTGACCTAAGCAATGGACCGAGAACCCTTGGGAAGGACACTGGAGATGGTGAGTCTGTGTGGTCACCTGTCCGTGGGGCGCTGGATGAAGTTCTGGTATCATCTGGAGAATGGGAATAAAATGTCTCACTTCCAGTTGCTAAGGTGACATAAGGCGCCAGCCAAGAATGCCTTGAGAGCCAAGAATGCTGCGCGAGGCACCAGGAATCCTCAGGCTCACAGAAAGCTCCTTCTTCAAGCCCTGCCCCTAATTATCCTCACCCCCCAGCTCTTCTTCCTTCTGGTCTCCAAGTTGCAGAAGTGAGGTAGACTTCCAAAGTGATGACAAACACCTACCATCTTCACCTCCCAGCAGGACCACCCCTCTCTACATGACCTTGTGCCCACTTAGCCTCTCCTCAGCACTGAAAAAAAAAAGTGTTATGGAGATGTGGTAGGGGTTGGGGTAAGAGTGGTGGAATCTCTTGCTGGTACTGGAAGAGCAGTCTCTGGCTTCAGAAAGACCCAGCTCAGGCAGGGTTCCTGGTTCAGCCCTTCTCAGCCAAGCAACTCAGGTCTCTTAAGCTCTACAAAGAAAGGTAATGCTCATCTTGAAGGTGAGGATTTGAACAGGTGATTGGAGTAGAGGCCAGGTCACACAGGGTTCGGGACCTCGCCTTCTGAGTAAGATGGGAGTCCCTGGCAGGAGAACGGGACTTTGTCTCGTTGTACCAGGATCACCCTGATACTGTATGGAGGAGCAAGAACAAAGGAGGGAGACAAGCTGGGTGGCCACTCCAGTGATCTCGGCCAGCAATGATGAGGGCTCTGCCCAGGTGAGGGAGGCAAAGATGGTGAGGAGTAGGCAGATTGTGGGAAGAGCTGGAGGAGAGCCTCGAGATTTGCTTTGGCTGGCACATGGGCATGAAAGCAAAAGGGACGTCACCTGTGCCTGAGGTTCCTGGCCTGGGCAGTTAGAGCAATGGAGTTGCTGACAATTGAGACAGGGAAGACAAGGAGGTCCAGGTTTGGAGGCTCAAGTCATGAGTTCCATGTTGGACATTTGCCAGATATCCAGCAGAGATGTGAAATAAGCAACTTGATAAAAGAGGCTGGAGTTCTGGACTGTGACTCAAGCTAGCGATAAAATCAGGAGTTGTCAGTGAAGGATCTTACTCTTAGAGTCATGAGACTGGATGAGATCACCTAGGGTGTGAAGGGTACCAGAGAAAAGGTCAAGGATGACCCAAGGCACAGGACAATGTTTAGAGGATGGAGGTGAGGAAACAGGAAGGAAAGCAGGAGAGCACATAGACGAGGAAGCCAAGGGAGGGTGGCATCTCTGGGGAAAAGGCACAATCAGGTGGGTGGCATAAAGGCACAACTGACAGGCGGCCTTGGATCTCACAGTTGGGAGATCATTGGTGCCCTTCAGAAAAGCAGATGTGGAAGCATCTTTCAGATATATGATGTCAAAAAAAGCCAGGTATACAGGGGATGTGGGGATGAGATTTAGCTCAGCGGTTCTGCCACCTGCCTCACAAGCTCAAGGTCCTGAGTTTGATCCCCAGTACCCCCCCCCCAAAAAAGAACACAGGGGATGTGGTAGGCTGCCTCTGCCTAAAAAAACAAAACAAAACATATAGAATGATACATTTGTGGAACAGACTGTCTGGTTTCTGAAAAGATACACGACACTCCATGAATAGTTGTTGCCTTTGGGGAAAGAAACTGGGAAAGGAGGTACTTGGAGTGAGGTGAGCGTTTGTTTTTTCGTATTTGTTGACCTATTAAAATATTGTTCATCAAAAAAAATTGTTCATCAAAAGTTTACTACTTTGGCTATTACAAAATAGTTATAATAAGGAAAAACACATGGCAATTATGAAATGGGAAAACACGCGAAGTGCTGGGTACAAAAGTCTAGAAACATCCATTTCCTGTGGAAAGGGCTGTTTGAAGAAAGGGAACCCTCAGAGGCTCCCGTGTGGGTTTGCTAATCCTTCACCAAGCTGAGAATGGATCGGAAAAAGCTTTTTTTCCAGTGTGTATCTTATTATTGCAAAATAACATTTTCCAATGGAACCCAAGTGGCATTATCATACTTTGAAACTTATAAAACAAATAATTACTTACCATCATCTAAAATTTAATCTGTATTTTATATGATTTGGGTGTGGTTTGATTGTTTCCCTTAAAGATTCATGTGGGGGCTTGGGGGGTGGGATAAAATAAAATAAAAATTAAAAGCAAGTGCATATAAAAAATAAATAAAAAATAAAGATTCAAGTGCTGGAAGCTTGGTGGCCAGTGTGGCTGTGTTGAAATGGTGGCAGTTTAAGAGGGAGGCCAGGTGGAAGGTGATAAGGTCATTAGGGCCCTGCCCTCCAAAGAGGACAATGTAATTTTCCCTGGACCCTCGTTAGTTCCCACCAGAGCAGGTTGTAAAATCCATACAGCCTGGCCCTTCGGTCTTCTTGCTTCCTGTCTTGCCACATGATCTCTCCCTCCCACAAGTTCCCAGTGTGGTGCCATCTGCCATGTTGTGATATGCTCGGAAGGCCCTCACCAGAGGCAAGCAGAAGCTAATGCCATACTCTTGGGCCTCCAAATCTATGCACTGAATAAACCTCTTTTCAGGAAAAACCCAGCCTCAGGCACTTTGTTAGAGCAACAGAAATGGATTAATACAATATTCAAATATCCCTAATCACTGCCTCTGAAAGGTTCCTTTGTGATTCATTTGCCCAACCCAGAGGCATAGCTTCTCCCATGTGGTGTGTGTTTGTGATGTCTCCCGACCTCTTCGG